AGTGCGAATATCCGAGCAGCACAACATACAAAGCCAGACACTTCCTGAGTTGCTGTACCTCTTGTATGCTGAGGGTGTGAGGCTTGTACAGTTATCGTGGAACCAACTCTTACATTCGCTACACTGCATACCAGAGGCCAATGTAAAGTGGCACCCGGCCCTACCACAAGCATTTTTACGACACTTTTGGCTCACCACGAAGCAGAAATTGAATAATATTCCGATTAGCGCAAAATGCAACAGCATTTGATGTGTAAACACAAAAAATGACAAGAATCTAGCTGAATGTAAAAAGTCACTCCCCTTTTCAGACAACGCCTTACTTCCCCAGTATCCAGCGGGAACATAAACGAAACGTAGATAGTCGTCTATCTTCTTATTCGATAAGGTTGTTTCTAACCTGAAACTATGCAAAGCAGGGGAATCTGTCAGTTTTCCATCAGGAGCTTTTAAAAATGGAGCAGGAAATTACTGAGTACAGTAACTGAATTACTAAATAGCGTATGAGAATCAGAGGTTTTCTCATCAGAGTGGTCTACTTCATTTAGCATTACAGTGTCTACCATAGGGGAAAAGTCTTTTGAAAATTATAGGTGAGTCAGTCTGAATAACATCGTGTCCAAGATTCTGCGATGCGTAACTGGAACTCGAGAAAGCCAGGCGCGTTTAAGACTGGGACGAGGCCGCATCAATCAGACTTTTACCCTTCAACAGGTCCTAGAACACAGGTATACTTAGCAGAGACCGACGCTTGCCATGTTTCTTCACTTGAAGGCGGCATTCGACTCTGTCGGTCGTGAAGTGTTTCGGTGGTATCTGACTGTGAAGAGAGTAACGAACAATTATAAAACGCCTATGAAAGCTCTCCACTTGAACTCACATAGCCGTGTAAGAGCTGGTGGAGAGTTGTCATGTGAATGGACGACAACAAATGGATGCGCGTGAAAGCATTTCTAAATGCAGTGCAATCAGGATCGGAGGCAACTCAAATGTAAACTAACGAAAAGTCTACGGTGTGACCATTAACAGTATCTGACCATTAGCGGTATCTGAAGAGACAGATGGGTCAGTGGCGATAATCGGCAGTAGAAAGCTATTTAGACTTATCAAGGAAGCTGGTTCCATAAGGTTAATGGTTAGTGAGACTATAACGAAGAAGGATGGGTCTGTGATTCATAGAAGAGATGACTAGAATAATGAGCGGAACAGTTCAACTGACATCCACCTACTCTTGGTTGCCATCCAGTTAGGTCCTGAACACAACACCGAGATACGGCACCTAACATTTACAGAGACTGAAAAATCTGTAGGTAAGCTGAGATGAAAAAGGGCAACAGCAACAAACAAATTAGTACTGGAGGTGTTTAAAGATGGTGGTCGTGGATTGTTAGTGAGTCTACCAAAAATGTCACCCAAAGCAAGCGAATCAGATATGAATCCTTCTGAGTGGTCCTAATCTCTGATCGTTCCAGTCTTTAAAATAAAGGCGAAACCGTACTGCGACAGTTACATGGAAATCAGTCTGACGAACATATTGTCTACGGCTCTAGGTTTTGTAATTACCAGACGTTTCAGTGGAACTCAGGAACATCAAACCCGACCAGGTTTCATACTAGTCCGTATTTGTCGGTCAGATATTCACCTTCTGCCAGGTTCTAGTATACAGGCACACTTGCTGATACTAGCTGTATTTGTCGACCTGTAGGCGGCATTTGATAGTATCGACCGAAAGTTCTTGTGGCAGTATCTGATTGTCAAGGGAGAGTCGTATAATAAATGTCAGAGGTCTACTTGACCGCACGCAGAAGTGGTAGTGCTTATGGGGAGTTGTCATCTAACTGGATGACAACCAGGAATGTCCACCAGAGATGCTCGCTGTCACCGTTCTTGTATTAGCTTCGTTTTAGATGTATTAGACGAAATAACCGTAAGAATGTCTGACTTCATAGGGATTGACCTACTGCCTGAAGGTCATTCAATTGGTTTGGAGTATGCAGAAGATATTGTCCTGCTGGGTGAAGATGCGGACAAAATGCAGGGTCTTCTGAACACGTTGAGCAAAAATCTGTGTATGTTTGGCATGCGTTTCACTGTCACTTGTCAAATATAAGATGATGCTTCATGAATGATATGCTGCAAGTTCTCCGTATTTAATCATAAGGAGTGATATGGTGGAATGTGTCGACCACTTGACTTTGGGAGTTGCATCGGCGTGAACTGGCTGGTCGCTGACGAAATCCCAGCGCAGACCCGTTTGTCGTTTTCCAGCTTGCGTCATCTATGGCGCCGACTAGCGAGATATTCGACTATCTGTCAAAGGATGAACATACTGTCATGCAGTTCTATCTTGTTCTACAGCTGTGAGACATGGCAGATGAAATTAGATTATGTGAATAGCTTACAGGTTTTCGAACACAGGTGTCTTCATAGCATTGTTTGCGTTGGTGGAATCATGTGAGAAATGTCGAAGTTAAGCGAAGAGTACTGGAAAAGAAGACAAGTCTGTGGATGAGGTTGTGTACCTTCAGCGAAGGCGGTGGCTTGGACATATGTTGCGCATACACAGCCACTGACTACCTTGACGTGCAATGTTAGGGAAGTAAGGTTGAGTTGAAAGAGGGTCAGAGTAGCAGCACCAAGACGTGGCACCAGTCGATGAAATCTCTTACTGCTGGCCTGAGCCATATGGAGAGATGTAGACTACCTGGCTGGGGTCCACGAGACGAAAGGTATCAGCCAGCGGTTGAGAACTGACTCTTGGTGACATGGCTAGAAATCGGTCACAATGGCGCAGATGTATTCACTCCTTGACATCTAAAGCTTGAGTGTTTACACTGACCTTTATATTCAGATTGTTTATTCTCTCACCCTACTTTATTTCTTTTTTTTATATCACTTTTTTATCCACTTGTTCTTTGTGTACTATTGTGAAGTGTGGCGACTTGAGCCGATGCGCTTGTGTTCGAGATTCTACGTTGATTTTGTCAATCGGTCAATTGTATGGGCTTATAAAACTGTATAGTGGTCCAAGCCAAAACAAATATGGTAGGTTTTTAAGCCAGGAACTTATTACCGGAAAGTCAATTACGTAAATCAGCAAACCACATCTATGTTGAGGACTCGGAAACAATTGAAATATATTATCAGAATTGTTGAAGTTCGATGACATTTGGGGTGTATCTGTGCTTTTCCTTCGTCCTAATCTTGTTATATTATGAAGCGATAGACTTTGGTGTCGTCTTGGCCTTAGCCTCTCTGAGATGCCAAGTACCCTACTCTCTACATGGGAAATTCTGCTCTAAGTTGAAACCCTGTCTCTGTGAGCTGAGGATATCAGATGCCTCTAATGATTCGACCTCCTTCATCTCTATAGGATCGCGGACATTTGGCATAAACACCATGTGGGTAATTCTAGGATGAAGAGGGATGCGTTTTGGTGCTATGTAGATCGTCGTCCATTGAGTGAAGTTATCTTGAAACGCTAATTTCCATGTTTTGGATATGAATCAGGAATGTTATGCCAGTCGCTCTCATTCCTTCCACCGTTTCCTAGTCCTAGCAAGAAAAAGCGTATACGTGACGAAAGTATGGCATGTGAGGAGTAGGCGTTTTGGGTTCACAACTGGCGGTGCCTCATGAGTCCTTGGGTCAGGTTTAAGAGATATCCCAACTATGTGACTTGAGACGATAGCGACCGTAACTAAACAAAATCCACCCATCAGCACTGTGCACATTCGTGCAATAGGCAATGGGCCACACCTACTGTGTGAGGGCTAGTGATACTACTTGGCTGCCCAGACCTCAGTAGATGGGGCGGGCCTCGAACCCACGATCCAACGGTTGGTAGTCATCTCCTTAAACCACTAAGACGATAGCAGATTTAGCTCGGTATCCAGAACAGTGGAGATCATGCTGCGACAATTTTGTTCTTTTGTATTTTAAAATGGAAGTAATGAATGATCTTTTGAATGAATCTCTGAGACAGACGCTCTAACAGCCTATTTCTATTTTGTCTTCCTGCTTTCTTTCACCTTTACTACACTTTTTTATTCTTAGCGTTGCTGCATTATTTCGTTTAATCCATTTCTCGTTGCTTATTTTGTATTAAGTTCTTTTTAGGTAAACAGTTATACAATAATAACTGTGATAGAAAATAGGATGGTTGGATTATTGAATGTAGATGCGATATAGTAAAATGATCGATTTAATGCATCCGAAGTATAACCATCCCCGATAAACTGAAGCCGCGTGATGATCGAGTCGACTGAGGAATATTTCGCATCATATGCATCATTTAATCCTATACAAATATTACTGATATTGACTGAATGAAACCTGAAGTAGTATGCATAGAAATATCACAATTAATAAAGTACGTTTGAGAAATTGTAAATTGAAGGTTATACAACAGCCAATGACTTCTAATCGGTACCCTAATGTCTAGCAAATTATTATGTCGCATTTCAGTTCTGTTTGCGCTCGGTCTTATGCGTTTCTGCAACTTTCGATACTATTGTTTTCATTACATTTCATCTTATTGACTTTGACGCTAGTCTTATCTGAACTGTAGTCATGCGGCTCAATACGCCGTCATTCTAGGTCCCAGGTCCCATGAAATCTTGTCTCTATGTTTGAAATACGATTTTTGGTTACTTTGTCCTACGAAGAATCCCAAGGGTTCACCCTCTTCACCATGAAAATATCTTCTAGATATATAGTTTTCGAAATCGTCTTACTTCCTGAATTAATGTGGGAAAAATCAAAAGCATATCATTTCACTTGATGTGTTATTCAGCTTCATCCTTCCTGTTAACTTCAACACAAGTTGCTTCCTTTTTTTCATGGTAGTTCCGTGGCACTCATTTGATCGGGTGCATGATAAAATCTTCCGGTCCACTACAATTACTTTTTTCATATGCTTACATCTTTTAGAAATATCCACCTAAAGCAATTGGTGTACTCTTGTGTGAGATATAAACTTGAGATAAGGCTGTAATATCATGGTAACTGTCAGACCATTCACTTGTTTTGACCTGCTCAAATACGGAAACATGTGAGTTATCCTTTGGACTGTTTTACTTTTGAGTAATCACTGCTTATCTTTTGATTATCTATTAGAATGATATAGGGGCTATTAATAATGTCTAACTCGTTTTCTGTTCAATCACTTATTTTCGTGTTTCTGTGTTCAACTCTAGAAACAAGAAAGAAGGAGTATGTAAATGCGAGAACTATACTTCTTAGTTGCATTCTATTTTTTAGACGATTTTGCATCCTCACTAATTCGCGTTATCAGGGAATAATGCCACTTTAGGTTTTATATTACCCCAACTAGAGATTTAGTATTCAACACACAGTGAATAAAAATTATTTCACGCTCTATTTTCCTCATCTTTCATGAGATTATTCAAAAGTTGGATATCAAGTTGTGAGGAAAACAGCCTTATGTTGAACATTGTTCCAAAGTTTGTGGTAAGCGATTCATTCATATAATTCAGTTCTTACATCTGGAAATATGCTGAACCAGAATTTCACGTAGACCATAAAATAGTGGACATCAGGTATTATAACTACGTGTGACATATGCACCAGTATAGTTTTGGAAAGCTTCTTCCCAACTGATCTTAAGTGTTATTGCTTGTATTATCCCGTCGTTGATTGGACCGAATTGATCAATCTCTATTGGCATGTGGCTCCTGTATCGATGCCTCGATATTGCCTATTTTAATTTTACATGTTAATGATGGATAGTGGCTAGCAGTGTGACCCCAAAAGCGCGTTTCGTCCTATTTTGGGACTCGTCAGCTGGACGTGCCTACCTCCTAGTGATTGATGTCCCCACCGGGACTCGGACTCGGGACCGGTCGCTTCAAACGCCAGAGCGTTGCCAACTAGACCTTCGAGCCACGATAGCTACTTCTTGTGCGATGGGTACAGTCTTAGTGTTATTGCTTGTAATATCCCGTCGTTGATTGGACCGAAATGATCGGCACGTCCAACTGACGAGTCCCAAATAAGACGAAACGCGTGTCCTGGATTCCACTACCGGCCACTATTCGTCATCAGTATATCAAATTAAAACAGGTAATATCGAGGCACCCACGCAGGAGCCCATATGCCAATCGAGACTGATCAATTCAGTCCAATCAATGACGGTATAATACAGGCAATAACATTAAAACTATACGCGTTGCACAAAAAGTGGCTATCGTGGCTCGGTGGTTTAAGAGTTAGTTTTGAAATATCAGTTGTCTGCTTCTGGTGAGTTTTATATTTACATTGAATTTATGACGTGCAACACAGTTTTCTCTAAGCCTAGTTTGTGGCATATAATGGTACTAGGATACTTCTTACTCCGTTTGAATGACTTGGTATTATTATGCAGAAAACAAAACGTTTAGTGGGATGTTTTCTATACGACAATATAGGTTCCATGTTGACGGTATTCAGAATAATGCTTACCTTATGCAGACGAAAAACTAAAACATAAAGGGTTATGATGTATTTTATTGGGTCATTAATTCACTAATCATCACCCTATGACGGATTCGTGATCACCATCAAAGTTACGTTGGACCAATGGACATTCTTTTGGTACCGTCACTTAAATCGTTTATTTGAAAGCAGATGTAAATCTATCCTAATCTTCTTGGTATGCTATGTTTAAGCTTCAGGTATTCGGACTTATTACCAATAAGTGGTTACTTGATTGCTGAAGAACGACCGTATCGATTAAATTGTCTGCAACTTGACTTTTTGAGAGTTTTATTCATCAGTTCATACCTACATATTAGTATCTTTCACGTATATAAATATTTCTTATTTTTAAAGACATACCTATTAGCTGGTTGCAGTACATAGACATTGCCAGAAATACTAATTTGATACTTAGCATTGATTTAAATTTGTGATCCTGTTTTCTCGCGCCTTGAAAATCATCCGTTACGTGGGGTTCATCTGAGTGTGCCTATTCCTAAGTAACCTGAAGATGTCTTTTAGATTCTTCGTCTTATTAATGCTGTGAACTTCCCTTTACGGTAGACTTGCTTGCACAATAGAGTCTTATTTTGCTACATTCAGGTGTGAAACGTACATTCAGATTCTTGTATTCAGTTTTGAAGTGTCACGAATATGTTAGTTTTTATTGTTTAATAAAAAATGTGTGAGAACTATTTGGTCATCAGTCATACTCTTTTCCTATTTTTATTGTAGTAACCTGGATATGTACACAGAAACTGTATCCTTTAACTAAAACCCTAGTTATGTCCGTATCTCGAAACATATCTTTTGAATAAATGTTTAAGTGATCAGCATAAAATGCTCAGTTTTTCCTAATAGAATTAGTAGTTTTGTACAGTCATCTTTGTAATGACTATTATTTCACAGGTGTATGCATTTTATATCGAATGAATCATGAAGTAACTCCTCTTATAGAGTCAAACCCAGGCTTCATTATTTTGGGGTTTACCAATAATGACTTCTCTTGTCTTCATGATGACATAATACCAATATTATGTTTCCTTAACTTACTACTATTGTATTTTTGTGAATGCAAACAACAGTATAGTATCAGTTTTTATCTGCATTATTTAGCGAAATGGCCAGAGTATATGCGAGTGTTAGAATCACCTACACTTAACTGTTTCAAAATGACTTCTGAAAGCTTTTCAAATGTTGTACACTCTGATATCGAACAGAACGTAAAGGGTTGTACAGTTCCATCACGCAAAGAAGCATCAATACCATCTTCTTGTCAACGACTTATGGGTTATATGATGGCGAAATCAGAGGGTCATGGGACCGATTGGCATGGTCATGTCACTGCATTATCAGTGGCTCCTGAATATCGTCGTCTAGGATTAGCTACTCAACTAATGCTGGAATTGGAGGAAACTTCTGAACGGTAAGATCAAAAGGGAACTTTTTTTCTTTGTGTTATGCCACCTTAATTTTGTTAGATTTTAGCATAAAAACCATGTCGACCTTAGTTGTTTGCTTCTTTCACTTTTTAGTCCCAGATACTGTGTGAATAGTCATTCTAAATGCACCTTGAATACTGGTCATATTTATGCTAATGTACCTGAGGTCTTCGTAAGAATATATGCATATGATGAGCCAATACACTGGTCGATTTACAGCTATACGCTATCACTCCAATCAGTAGAAAAGTCTGAAAGTAGGTCTCGTGCTTGTTGACTCTCAGTAGTGAGGCAGACTGGTCTAACGTAGTGGCAACATCACAAACTTAACTGACAGAATAATACCGGAGACAAATGGCATAACACTATTGTGAAACAACCAATTAGCAAGAAGTAGTGCGCATCAACTATCGTATATCGGTTCACTTGATAGGTTACTGAGATCTCAGTTAGGATATAGAAGGTCTGTTCGGTATTTACTAACTTACACGATCTCTGGCACCAATGACATTTCCGACGCTCTATCAAATTGTTGAGTATACTGATCAACTGTTCACTCTGTCCTGTTGTATGAGTGTGGGACATATCTCTTTGAGAGTAAAAGACGAGTATTTTATCATGAGATTAGGGTTGCTCTTATGTGATGCAACCACTGGATGAGCAATATCGAAACTGGATGTAAGATAATAAGTCAGTTAATTTTGCCGTACACATTCACTGACGTAGGTGGCTAGGACATTTGTTGTAAATGCCAGGGTACCGTCTGCCTCCATGTGTGACGTTAGCTGAAGTGGGGATTAAGGGAAGAGAACGTTGAAGATGATCAGACTGATATATGGCGCTTATTCAAAAATCATCTGAGTATGGGTAAGTCTTGGAAGTTAGCTGACTGGGGTCCCAGAGATCTAAGACATAAATAGTTAGAGACTGGTTAATATATGGCTCAAAACTGGTATCAATGATGTAGATATGTAAACTCGTCATCTTCGTAATTTTGAAAATTTTATGAACTTTCACTGAATTATATCCATAAAAAATGTGTGCATTGTGGAGAGAATCAGTTTATTGTAAATATATTTGTAATGAATGTTTACACACAATGACCATAGAAATAGCAGGCTCCTCCCTGCCTAACGGTCTTGTCGTGATGGTGGTATGGGTTTTTTCTGTCCGGCTGTGGAACAGTCGAATTTCATACCAACAATCCTCAAAAGGCTGTGTGCGACAGGCTTCAAGCAGCCGTGCCATAGGCTTTGCGGTTACGCAAAACGTCTCTCCATTCAGGTACTAACAGAAGCAATAATCTTCCACGTTGTGGGCACCGGGGAAGTGTCAGCTGCCCACACGCTTCCAGTAGTACACGAGACCCAATCAAACACAACTCGTCCTCCTCAAACCTGTCTCCTCCTTTGCCTTCATCTGAAATTATTATCAAGCCTCTTACAACTTCCTCAATCTCTCACTCAGGTCATTACCAACGATCAAAGTCATGAAAACCTCATTTTCTAGTATCCTGAGATCCCACCAGCGATTTCATACTGGGGCCTTCAATGGCCTTACTCTTCACCAAATCGGACAGCAGGCGTCGCTTGCCAGAACTCTGCAGTCTCGAGCCACGGATGCGCGCTATATCTCTGAGGCACGTATAAAGGACCTGAGTGTGGTTGTTAAGTTGACCTCACCTAGCCATAGTAGTAAATCTTCGAAATTCATTTTACAAGTATCCCAAGGCTCAGTAGCTAGCTCTGGTGTGGGCTCGCTGGTGTAGGCATATCACAGCTGTAGGGCTGAAAGTACGCTTCTCAACTGGATGCCAGTCAACAGTTGTCTATATGTGGTTCGACTAAATGGATCTGTAGAAACTAGAAAGGATCGTGAGACTAACCGATGTCTATTCGTAACCTCCGCCTACTCACCCACTGATTGTAGTTTGGATGACGCGAAGGATTAATTCTATGAAAAGCTGTCAACTTTGCTACAGAAACCAAGGCATTTAGATGTCATTGTGTCAGGCGACTTTAGCGCTGAATTAGGGAAGCTGAGACAATCGGAAGGGCATCTTTCAGGTATCTACGGAATTCCATACCAACGAGCCGACAAGGGTGATCGTATGTTACGATTTCGTTCTCACAATCACTTGTTGTTAGCCGGCATTGACTTTAAGCATAAAGAGAGGCACTGTCTCATATTATTTTTATTATTATTATTATTAGTCCCTTGGGTTCCTAGTGGAACATAGGGCTTCAGTAGCACGCCTCCAGTGACCTCTGTTCTCTGAGATCTTTTGAACCTGGTCCCACGACAGCCCACAAGCCCTCATTTCCTCCTCGCACGACCTCCTCCATGTCACCCTCGGACGTCCAACTCGTCGCTTCCCATGGGGATTCCACTCGAGGGCCTGACGCGTGATGTCCTCAGTCGGCCTTCTCAGTGCATGGCCAATCCATCTCCACTTCTTCCTGCATATTTGTTGCGTGATAGGTTCTTGGTTGGTTCGTTCCCAGAGTTCCTTGTTGCTTATTTTTTCTGGCCATCTGATCTTCAGCAGCGAGCGTAAGCAGTTGTTGATGAATGTCTGTAGTTTATTGGAAATGCCTTTCGTGACGCGCCAAGTCTCTGAGCCATACAAGAGCACTGACTTGACGTTGGTGTTGAAAATCCGTATCTTGTTCCGTATGCTGAGTGCAGAAGATCTCCACACTGGTTTCAGGCTAATGAACGCCTGTCTTGCTTTTCCGATTCTGACTTTGACGTCCTCGTCCGTCCCGCCTGTAGTTGAAACAGTGCTTCCTAGATAAGTGAAGGAGGTTACTTCCTTTAAGTTTCTCCCGTTGACAGTGATTGGAGTTTGTTGTTGTTGTTGTTGATGGTGGTGGTGCGGTATCTTCATCACTTCTGTCTTCTCTATATTCACCTGAAGTCCCGTCTTCGCTGCCTCTTCTATCAACTTGTTAGTTTTTGCCTGCAGATCTTCAAGTTTGTGTGACATTAGGCACAAGTCATCGGCGAAATCCAAGTCTTCTAGGTTCTTTTCCGTCGTCCAGTGTATCCCCCTCTTCTCGCTGCCTACTGTTTGCTGCATGATCCAGTCCACCACAATAAGGAATATCATGGGGGATAGTAGGCAACCTTGTTTCACTCCTGTCTTCACTTCAAAGGCATCACTGAGCTTCCCATTGTGAATTACTTGGCATGTGGCATCTTCATATAGTTGTTGAATGAGGCGGATAAAGGTTTGCGGTACTCCGTAGTATTGAAGCAGTTTCCAAATTACTTCTCGGTCGACGCTGTCAAAGGCCTTCTCAAAGTCGATGAAGTTGAGGTAGAGAGCTGATTGCCATTCTATGCTCTGTTCTATGATGATGCGACGCGTTGCAATTTGGTCGGCACATGATTTGTACTTCCTGAAGCCTGCCTGTTCCGGTCGTAGTTTTGAATCCAGTGCGTCTTTAAGCCTCTCTAGGATGATGCGGCTTAATATTTTACTTGGGGTGGACAGGAGAGTGATTCCGCGCCAGTTCTTGCAAGCACTGAGGTCTCCCTTCTTCGGCAGTTTGACAAGGTAACCCTTCTTCCAATCGTCAGGTACCTTCTCTTCCTTCCACACCTTCTGCAATAGTGGTGTGAGCATGTCCGCTGTTGTCTCTGCATCTGTTCTCAGTGCTTCTGGCGGTATTCCATCTGGTCCTGCTGCTTTCCCGCATTTCAGTAGCTTTATGGCGTTCAGGACTTCCATTTTCGTTGGGGGATTAATGTTCACTTGTAGTTCAGCGGCTGCAGGTGGTATTTCTGGACGAAGTGCAGGTGGTGGTCGATTCAAGAGCTTCTTGAAGTGGTCGGCCCATCGTTTCCTCTGTTTCTCTTCTTTTGTAATTAAATTTCCTTCTTCATCTTTTATTGGTTTCATCTGTGTTGGTCTCTTCCCTGATAGCAACCTGGTTATTTGATACAATGTCGTCAGGTCTCTCTTACCTGCAGCCTGTTCTGCTTCACTTGCCAGTGTTTCGTAGAAGTGTCTTTTGTCTTTGCGTGCACTCTTCTTCACTTCTTTGTTCAGTGTTTTATACATTGTGCTCAGTTCCTCTTGTCGTTGAGCATCCTTGCACTGGTTTATCTTCTGCTTCACCATCCTCCTCTCCTCTATCAGCTTCCAGGTATCCGTCGAGATCCATTCCTTGTCTTCTTTCTTCTTCCTTCCTAATACTGTTGTGCAGGTTTCTTTCCACATAGCTTTCAAAGACTTCCAGTGTTCTTCCACACAGGTTTCTTCAGGGATGTTGCTCGATGTCTCCCATTTTGTCTTGATGGCTGCCGTGAAGATCTCCTTTGTAGTTTCATCCTTCAGTTTCCGAGTGTTGTACTTGAATTGAGGTCTATCACCAGCTTCCTTGAAGGCTTTTAACTTGATTTGGAAGTTTGGTTCCTTGCACTAGATAGTGGTCTGAACCTACATCTGCTCCTCTTCTTGACCTTGTGTTAAGTAGACTGCGTCTCCATTTTCTTGAGATTGAGATAAAGTCGATTTGATTTTTAGTGTGTCCATCTGGTGAAATCCATGTCGCTTTGTGGATATCTTTGTGCCTGAACACACTGCCTCCAATCACCAAATCGTTGAATGCACAGAATTCTGCAAACAATTCTCCATTCTCATTCATTTCACCTAGCGCCTCTCGACCCATGGTTAGTTCTCTTCCCGTGTTGTCCCCTCCCAGTTTGGCATTCATGTCGCCCATTAGAATTTTGATATCGCCAACTGACGTCTTGTCCAGTGTTGATTGAAGTTGTCTGTAGAATTCCTCCTTTTTCTCTTGCTCTGCATTATTTGTAGGTGCATAACATTGTATGATTGTGACCTTTCTTCCTTTTGAGTTGAATCTTGCTGTCATGATCCTGGAGGAGATTGGTTCCCACTGCATGAGAGCCTTCGATGCTCTTGAGGACATCATGATAGCCACTCCCTCAGTGTGCTCGTGGTTGTCGTCTGGGTGACCGGAGTAGATTATTGATTCTCCAGTTGACAGTTTGGAGAGTCCACTCCCATTCCATCTGCTTTCGCAAATCCCAAGCACTTCGATGTTATACCTTCTCATCTCCTTTGCAATCTGGGCTGCCTTACTGGGTTCAAACATGGTGCGGACATTCCATGTCCCCACGTTTACTTTCGCTTTCATCGAGAGAAGACACATCGGCCAATTGGCTTCCCGAAGGCTTTCACCAACTGGCGTCATTTCGCCTCTCCGATTCCAGCGGGGAATAAGTTTGTTTTCATTTTTTATATTTTGTTTGTGCTTTGAAGTTTCTTTAGCGGTTAGATTTGTTTTACGGGGTAGGGTTGCTAGCCCTATGCCCAACCTTCCCTCTTTACCCGGGCTTAGGACCGGCTAGTAACTAGTAAACTAGTTAACCAGGCGAGGTTACTGTCTCATATAGCGTCCGCTAATTTCAAATCTACGATGAGCGCAGATAGATCATATTGCCATGAGTCATCGGTAGATTTCGGCTCCTTCTGGAGTACTTGTTTGAACTACGACCACACACTATCACTAGCACGTGTATGTCTGCACCTTACTTGTCGCAGGAAACAAGCGATAGTAAAGCCTGTCTGTCCTCGACTAGAAGATGGGGCCACCAAGTACTTACTCATGGAGGAGATAGCTAAGCATTAGTCGAGACGCGACAGCAGTGTTCATCCTATGGAAACCTGGTGTGATATTAGGTCGGCTGTAGAAACAGCGGTAAAGACAGTAGAGAGCCTACTCTCGAACGTTAGACGACGTCATTGGATTTCTGCAACGGCATCCTACCTGATTGATATAAAAAGACTGATTCCAGTTGGCTCTGACCACAATAAAGACCGAAAACAAGTTAAACGTAAGTCAACCAGGAGTCTCCACGTTGGTTGCAAACAGTGGTGAATGGTGAAGGCAAGAGATATGGAGAATGCATCAGCACTCAGCAAAACTTGGCAACTTTTCAGGCTTAATCAGGACACCGGCAAGAAGTAAATGATGGCAAGTGGAATCGTTACCAGTATTGTCCTGCCGGGTGAAGACGCTCACAGAATGTAGTCTTTTGAACACCTTGAGCAGAAGTATGGCTGTGTCTGTTATGCTTTTCGTGCCTGTCAAATGTTAGGTGATGCTTCAGGACTGGTTTGCAACTAGTCTAACTTTGAGCATAAGAAGTAGTGTCGGAATATGGAGATCACTTACGTTATCTTTTACACCGGCGAGATATTCGGCTACCTATTAAAGGATGAGTATACTGCATTGCTGTCTGTTCTGTCCTGTTATACGGCTAAGATATGACCTATAAAAGTGAACGACAAAAATGTTACAGGTTTTCGAACACACGTGTCTTCGTAGCATTGTTCGTGTATGGTGGAACCACCGTGGTAGAAATGTTGAGGTTAGGCGAACGGTACTGGGCAAGAAAGGCAAGTGGGGGGATGAGATTGTGAACCTTCATCAACTAATGTGGCGTAGACATGTACTGCTGATGCTGAACTACCGCCTACCTTGACGTGCAATGCTAGGAGTTGTATTATGTTAGAAGAAAGCTCAGGGTGACCAGATCTAGACGTGGCGCCAGTGCATGAAGTCCATAACCATCATCGATCTGAGGCGTATATGGATGTGTAAACCACCTGACTGGGATCTGCAAGACGACGAATTAGTTGTTGAGGTCTCTTAGTGACATGGCTGAAAATTAGTCACATTGGCGCAGATGTATTCACTCTTTGACATCCTCTGTAGCCTAAATGTTTTGACTAACCTTAATTTTGAAGTCTCTGTCATCCCATAAACGCTTGTGTACTATGAAACCAGTCTTTCTAATCCACCTGTTCTTCGTATACTACTTTGATTTTTTCTCTGTACTTACTGTTAGCAGGGGGAACTACTTAAACCTAAAGAGAACGAACTTGATTAGGACGTTCTGTATTGCTGAGATAACTTGGGTTTTACGTGAACAAACTATTATATGCTAGTAAATTTTCCTCACTAAGCAATTAAATTAATTCAACTTTCCACTGTTTACTTCAGTCACAGCTAAAGTTTTATGCATTCCACTTATTCATTTTAAAATGAAACTTATACTTGTCTCGATTTTTAGAAAACGCTGTTACTACGTTGATCTATTTGTACGTGCTTCTAATAAGCTAGGAATAGATATATATTCTAAACTGGGCTATATCATATATCGCAGGGTACTGAATTATTACTGGGGTTCAGTTGAAGATGAAGATGCTTTCGGTAAGTGGATTATGGAAATACGAATGTTTTTCAAAAAGCTGTCTACATATTATGGTATATGCCTATTGCTTAATGATGAAATGAACTGCTAAGTATGCTCTCCAGTTCATTTACTGTTGAACTGCAAATTTATCGTGTTACATATGTAAGGAGCTTATTTGCTGTTTACATAGGCTTGACAAGTTATTTGCTTACACATTAAAAGTTAGATGAATGACTCACTGCTTTGCACTTTTTGTAATATTTTGAAGCCCGGCCGACAAAACCAGACAAGATATGCAGGTTAGCTGTATTTCGCCACAATAGGGTTCCAAACTGTACTTCAGTCAAAGAGGTTAGAACAAAACTTAGTACTAATTCGCCTCACATGATGGTTTTGGGTCACTATTCATTATACGAGACTGCATTATGTTGTCTATTTGCATCATTCTGCAATTAGACTGCTTTCAGTCTATGAGGCAAACAGTTCAGTTGCTTTCCAAATGCATTTTTAAAAAGCTTATTGTGCTTTTCCTATCTACTGAGAGGAGGACTTCGTTCCTAGATAACTGCAATTTTCTAAGCCACACTATAGCCTGCTACTATTCATAAAGTGTGCATTGTGTAATTAACAATGTGAAATAATAAGGTTGTGCACGATTAAATAACTAGTTGTGAGACATTTCTGAAACACCACGTTTCTACATCCATCTTCATCAGAAGTCCACCTCCATCTCAAATATAAACAAAGCTCCTGATTTTGTATCGTTTACATAAACATTTTAGAGTCTCAGATACTAACATTGCATTTTCCCAAGTAGTGGATGACGTTATTTTCCCCCTTGCACTTGCTTTGAGACATAAACGGCGAGAGTAAAACATATCAAAAAATACAGGTTTCGGGTCGTAGGTGCCTTCGCTGCCTTAGTAACGTATGGTGAAATCAACGAGTGAGAAAGTCGCGGTTAGGCGAAGGGTAATAGGCATGTCAACCAATGAAGTTGTGAACCTTCACTAAGGTGGCTTAAACATGTGGATCCACCACCCACCTAGATGTGCAATGTTAGCAAGGTAGCGCTGAAAAATGGTTCATGGTGACCAGACTAAGATGTGCTAGCAGTCCATGAAGTCTCTGACTGTTGATCTTAGCCGTGGCGACTTGCTTGACTATGGTCCTTAAGAGGATGAGAATCAGTGGTAAGAGACCGTGTGACATAGCTATGTATTCGCTTCTTGACATTGTCGAAGTGCTGAATACACTCACCACCCATTATTTCTTTCACCTCTGTCCTTCCGAACACCTTTTGCCAACTTTGATATCAGTCTTTTTCTGTCCACTTATTCTCTGCATGCTACTGCAACGTGTGGCAACTTGAACCGGTGCAGTTATGTGCAACACTGTGATATTGAACTATCTGTTTCTCATATTGGCCTTCAATTTAAACATAAAGTCAGGTTGAATAAACGCAGTAGGTCTAATCATCAAATTATCAACCGAATGCTGAAAACATCTATAGCATAGTAGATTTTCCAATCCTCTTATGCATTGACCTGTATGCGATTGCTCGGTTCTACATACCACAGTTCAAGATTTTTTACACACTAGAAAGTTGGGGTGGTTAGAAGTCAGGAGTTTCAATATAACATGAGACAACTGCTGTTTACTCCAAGTTTTCAAGACTTAATTTATTCGAAGTCTGTGAGCGCCATCATTCGAAATAACAACTATATATACACCAGCAACATATAATATCTAGTGATTTATAGATAATGTTCTTCAAACTTTCGAAACAGGCATTGACATGTAATACGCCTGAAACAGATGAGCCAAGTAGATTGTCGTTATTCACCTCACCCAGCTAGCACCAGTATTCATATATAACACAACGAACAAATATATACGCCAATGATCCTACATCACTCTTAACTACTCTAATATGCAAACCTCTTCCTCACCATCCTTATTGAAGAGATAGTACTTATAATGTCCTGTAAACGCGCTCCAAATTATGTAACGGAACTAACAGTGTCCACACCCTCCATCACATCAACCAGCAAGCTTCGCTAGCCGAAACCCTGACATCTCAAGCCATGGACGTGTGCTGTGGTTACTCACTTAACCTCACCGGACCAATATGGTGTGTCTGCGAAACTCACCTTTCTTTTTCCTGGACTTTCGATGGCTAGTTCTCGCGGTCTTGTAGGTGTAGGCATAGCATCAAGTCCTAAAACAGAAAGTGCACTCATACACTGGATCCCCGTTGACACTAGACTGTATGCTGTTTGACTGAGTGGTGCACTAAGAACTCGAAAAACACCGAGATTAAGCATTGTCTCTTTGCAACCTCTGCTTACACACCCACTGACTACAGCTCCGATGAAGTGAGAACTGTGTAGCCCCCTACTGAGAACTAAACGTTCAGACGTGGTTTTCGTAGGAAGTGATTTCAAAGCACAAGTGGGTAGGCTAAGTCAGAGAGAAACATACTCAGATGGTATTTTTGGAATCCCAACCGAACAAGCCGATAATGGTGACCTTCTGTTGTACTTTTGCCCCGACATTCTGGCCAGCGCTAACTATGAAGAAAGGGAGAGACACTGTCTCACATGGCGTCCGCCGACCTGAAATCAACGATAAACACAGATAGATCACATTGTTATGAGTCATCGTCGGGGATTGACGCTCTTTCTGGAGTACCAGTCTAACTTCGTTCATGCGCTAGTACGAGCTGCGCCTTAAAAGTCGCAGAAAACTAGGTGGCAATAAGGCCAGCCGGTGCTCGATTAGAGGATGAGAACGTATTGAGGGCGGACCTGGGTTAGGATTTATCTAAAAGTGACAGCAATGTTCATCCTGAGGATAACTGGCGTGGTGTTAGGTCGGCCGTAGAAACAGCGGTGAAGACAGTAGGTAACCTGCATGCGAAGGTTAGAGGGTGTCATTGGATTTCTACAACGTCATCCGAACTGATTAATGCGAAAAGACTGGTTCCAGTTGGCTCTGACCACAATGAAGAGCTAAGGGAACTTAAACGTAAATTGACCAAGAGTCCTCGCAGTGGTGAGTGGCGAAGGCGGAAAAGACGGAGAACGCATCAGCTTTGAGCAACACTCGGCAACTACTTAATCAGGATACCAGCAAGAAGACGATGGTGAGTGAGATCATCAGCGAGAAGGATAGGCCACTGATAACCTCTTAGGAAATACGGCTAAAACCTTGGGTAGAGTAAGTTGACGTACAGTTCAACTGGCTCACAAACACACTTCAGTTGCCCAGCATCTAGCATAAACTTAAATGGAACGTTGATGTCGATCCTTCAACTCTCCTTAAACTTAAGAAAGCACGACTAGCTAAAGCTTTAAATGCTAGCCATCTTTTTACACCTATAAGATGGTAAGATGGTACCGTAGAATAATTCTGGACAAATTCAACTCACAGACAATGAAGTGCTCTACGGCATTGTGCAGGTTTTGGTAACGTTCTGTATCAGAACTGTAAAAGAAGTAAATCTTATTCCACTTATGCGCATAGCTGATGCTTCGCAAATTGGTCAATAACTTTTATTTTGCTAAGTGATATAGTTCATGTTAATTTTGTTACACCTGTAAATCACATTGTTTGTTTTTTGCTGACTCATTATTGTTTCAGATATGAGGAAAGCACTATCAATGGATGTGCTTAAGAAATCTATCATACCGTTAACAAGGCCTATACGTCCTGAAGAACTAGAACATCCGTGAACAGATATCTGTATATTTGTTATAAACTAAAATTCGTAATTTGCTCCGAATACAGCATTAGCGAGAGAAAAAATACAGTGTTTTCCTAGTTTGAAGTTACGAAAAGAAGAAACAGCTGAGAAGCAATTTCCATCAAATACCTTTCTAGAAAAATCAAGATTTTGCAAAAATATTCAGAAAATCAAGATATAACAAATATGGAACTATCGATCACTTCTATTCACATAGGCCTTTCAAACTTCGTCCTTCTAAAAGTTAGAGCGGAAAGTTGTAAAAAGTAAAAGCGCATAATATGAAACTCTGGCATAGTTTATAATAAACTGATGTAAACAGCTTAACATTTCATTCAAAGTTACTCAATTTACTGATGCGTGAGGAATTGGTTGATTTTAAGGTGGCTTTTGTAATGGATACAGAACTTAAAGAATGATCCAAAACGTAGGAGTAAACGATAGATTTTTTTCTGGTTAGGAACTTCAGATTAGTGTGTATCTATGATAATATAGAGGGTCGAGGTCAGGATAAAAAAGGAAGACAAAATATGAGTGATTATATTAGATAAAAGTTGCGACTTCAGAAATAGGAGGATATGAACCATTGAATCGCAGCACTGGCACAGTGGTAGCGTACTCTTCGGGAGACCTGACGGTTTTAAATTCTCTTTCACAAAGTCGGTGATATTAACTGAAGAGCAGTCCTAAGCATTTGCTCAGACCTCCCACGCTCCCCAGTTGATGTGAAACGTTAACCCTGATCATTTACTGAAAAGAGGCTTTGATTGATCACAATCATTCTACATACCATTTTTAGTGCAATATCATACTCTCTACCAACGGAGTTACGAAAGTGACTAGTGCTTCCTTTCCATACGATTTTACAACTAACAGTACTGGACAACTAGAGGTTGGATTGTGTAATTATTTTCAAGATTTTCACGTCACTAACACAAATCCTGCTCTGTCATTGGATAACAGAATTCTCACACGGCATTAAGGTTCCGAGTTGCATCTATCCTCCGACAGTTCATCCAGGATTCACGAAACGGGGTAAAAACTAAACTCAGAGCAAAAAACCATTCGTGCTGAGGCTTAGTAAGAAAACAATAAACCACTTCCAAAGACTGTACTCATATGAAAGACTTACATTAAAATCATGATATACCTGAATAAAGTGATTCACGTATGACCATACTACGATTCAAACAATATACGCTTCAGAATTTAAAACAAGATGTACGGCAAAAATTACCCAAAGGAAGTCATCAAGACGGTTGCTACATTAACGCACAAAAACGCTTTACCTGTCCAACATCCATACGGAACTTCAATCATAAACATGTTTCATTTCTCTTCTTCCTTTCCTCCACTAACAGTTCCTACCTAGACATAGTGGATGGGCTTGCATATCCCGATGATCCTATAAACCATACTGGTGAAACCCGAAGTCCCACAATACCAGAAAGGTCGACCAAATAGTGGTAAGACAAAACACACAGTTTAAGTGTAATTTGCTATGCTGTGATGAGCGTCCGAGGGCGAAACCTTGCTGTTGGTTGGACGGGTACGTGGCGACATTAAAGTGTTTCTCACGGATGACCAGCAGTACCACACCGATACTGGCTTCCTTATGGGGTGTTGCTAGCAGCAGTCGGTCCTAGAATTAGCACACTCCCCTCTATCCTATGGCATATCAGTGCCGGCCGTATGGAATCATTGACGAACAGGAAGAAAAAAAACTGAAATCCCAAACTTCTAAGAGGTCAAATGAGCCTGGCCTCAAAGAGATGTCCCTTGGACTCAGCAGCCACACGGTAACCCATCTTTTTTGGGTACCTTAAGAACTAGTAGCCTTCAACGGTGTGGGCATTCGGGACTTGTAAAGCGCTCTCATAACTCCATCAGCATTCGAGTTCCCTCATATGGTCATCAAAATTCCACAATCTACCTTCTAATCTTTCTTCTCATCTCGGTTAATATTCCTACATCATAAATTCCTTTCAGGTCTGCAGCTTTCCATAAAGGTTTGAACATAGAACAGCATTCCGGCTCTCCTGGAACCATTCTCCAGAATGTCTATCGGAGCTTGCAGTGTCCATACCCTCCATCACATCAACCAGCAAGCTTCGCTAGCCGAAACCCTGACATCTCAAGCCATGGACGTGTGCTGTGGTTACTCACTTAACCTCACCGGACCAATATGGTGTGTCTGCGAAACTCACCTTTCTTTTTCCTGGACTTTCGATGGCTAGTTCTCGCGGTCTTGTAGGTGTAGGCATAGCATCAAGTCCTAAAACAGAAAGTGCACTCATACACTGGATCCCCGTTGACACTAGACTGTATGCTGTTTGACTGAGTGGTGCACTAAGAACTCGAAAAACACCGAGATTAAGCATTGTCTCTTTGCAACCTCTGCTTACACACCCACTGACTACAGCTCCGATGAAGTGAGAACTGTGTAGCCCCCTACTGAGAACTAAACGTTCAGACGTGGTTTTCGTAGGAAGTGATTTCAAAGCACAAGTGGGTAGGCTAAGTCAGAGAGAAACATACTCAGATGGTATTTTCGGAATCCCAACGAAACGAACAGATATTCGCGATCGCCTACCACCTAATTGTAGTCAGCGCGAATTTCAGACAGGAATGATGTCGGCGTGGCGTTCACAGACGTTAGTTCAACAGTGGACACAGCTAAGTCCTATTACTACAAGTTACTGTTGGACATCAGTGCAAGATAGCCGCAACTTCTAGAGCAAGCGTTTATACAGCGATCGCGCATTTGTTCAAGCACGTGAGTATCTGCACATAGATAGAATTTGGAAAAGTAGCTCAATAAGACCATCGCGGTTGCAGGTCGATGATAAAGCTGTTCAGGTTGATTTTACAGAGATACTAGCTGTACAGTCATCGGGTGAGAACAACACCATTCTGCCAGAGGAAGTCTGGTGCCATGTTCCGTCTGCTGTATGTGACTCTCAGCAAGTGATTAGAAGGCGCCAGTGAATCTCAGAGGTTTCTTCGGAACTAATGGGTGTGCGTGAACATATTCCTACAGGAGTGGAGGCAACTCAAATTCAAACTGACGCGAAGTCTACGCTACGAGTTCGCAGAAATACGTGGCGAAGTCTGGAGACGGATAGGGCAGCGGTGATCGTTGACTGTAAACAACTACTGAGACGTATTAGGGAATTTGATGCAAACCGGTCAATGGTTAGTGAGAATGCAACAGAGAAGGATGGGTGTGCGATGCACAAGGACGACAAAGCACTTCTCGGAGCGGTTCAACCGGCCTCTAGATACTACTCCTTCACTATCCAGTCGGATCTCCAATGGAACATCAAGATAGGACCCGCAACACTTGCATAAGTGAAGGCTGTAAGCGGTATGAAGCTAGGAAGGGCAGCACGGCTAGACAAGCTAGCATGACAAGTATTTGAGGACGGAGGTCATGGATTATTGACTAAATTAAGTGCAGTGTTAACTAGTGTATGAGAGTCAGATATTAATCCCTCTAAGTGGTCTCAATCTCTGACTGTACCAGTTTTCGAGATAAAGGAGAAACCGTCTTGTGACAATTACATGGAAGTCAGTCTGACGAACATACGGTCTACGGTTCTACGTCCTATAATTATCGGACGTTTTAGTGGAGCTCGGGAACACCCAACCCGAGGAAACCAGACAAGTTTCAGACCCGCCTGTGTGTCGACCAGATGTTTACTGTCTGCCACCTTACAGTGTACATGTACCCCTACCTGCACCCGACACTACCTGTTTTTTTGACCTGTTGGTGGTATTGACTCCGTCGACCGAGAAATCTTATGGCAGTCTCTTACTGAAAGGGAATGCCAGATTCTGCTAAGACCTCTGCATTCAAACGCGCATGATCATATTAGAGTATACGGTGGGGTATTAGGTTAGTTATGTACGTCGTGTTATGCGTCAAGGATGCCCACTATCTCTACTCTTATTTAACTTTATCACGGGAGTACCACCGGAGTCGTGCCTCTCGTTGTCTGACTTTACGGACATTTGTCTTGTTACAAGAAACTCATCAGTGGCACTAGAGAATGGTGACTATGCTGACAAAAAGCAGTTTTTCAGACACCTTGAGTGGCAATCTGATAATGTTTTGGATGTTTCTCGTCACTCAAATGCAAATAGTTGCTCTAGGACTGAATCATGTTGGTGCTCCATCTAACACTGACCACTTCGGTTACTTGGGAAATCGAGTCAGCGCTGATGTCAGTGATCGATGACACCTTGACCTGAAATACAAAAGTCTCGCTTGCATTTCACTAATGTCGACTAAGGGTCGAATACACTGCGCTTCAGTTCGCTCTGTTCTACTTGAGGGTTAAGAAACATGGTCATTAAAGGTAGAAGGCGTGAGATTTCAGGTGTTCGACCATCATTGGCTTTGGAGAGTAGGTCGTGTGCTATAATGTCTCCATCAGTAACCTTGAAGTCAGGCACAGAGTTTTAGGAAGAGACAAGCCAGTTGATAAGGTTATGAAGCTTTATTGACCCAGGCGGCTGGCATGTGTGTAACCCATGCCTAGCTACAGTTCACTTCGTGTCACAGTATTAGTTGAAGTAGGTTCACGACGGAAAAAACTTAGGGAAGGCTAAGCTAAAAGATGTCAGAAGTCATCGACTTCCCGGCTGGGGTTTGCGTAACAACATAATTTAGTGGTGATACGATTTGGCATAGATGGACTCACAACTTATCGTCAGACTGAATTTCAGCACTTAACCATCCTTCCTTGATAGCTTTCTACCACTTTCGACTTGCTTTCTTATCTTTAAATTCTTCATTTCAGTGCATTCTCATTTGATTCGTTGTTGGTGTGGGGCGATTTGGATCATTAGGCTATAATGCAAGGCTTTATGTTAATGTCGTCTATCTGTTCGAAAACAACTTAAAAATAACCAACTAATGAGAAAAATCATCTTTGCAAAAGCAGCAACGTAGCACTTTGGGTTTCTTCACTTCACGTTTGATGAGCTAGACTCCCAGTAGATTAAAAACTGGTTTTGATCGAATATCGAAATTATTTCTAATAATTCCTAAGAAACAACGCACTCAATATACATTATATTCTATTGCAGCATGTTTCAGCAGTGTCTATATATGTCATTATGTGGTCAAAAATAAGCTTGATTAAGTGTACACCAGATAACTTGTGAATTACCATCTGATATCTTCTGTGTTGCTGATGTCTAACAATATTCTGTTTAGGGCTGCGAAGTAAGTTACCCACCTGAAATTAAAGTTATCGCTGAGATAATAGTGGAGCAGGACAGTTTGAACAGAAGTATAGACTTGCAAGTTAGGTCAACATGACGGTAATCGAAATTCGGAGTCGGTGATTATGTTAATATCTTTTTGTTTTATTCTGAAGTGCAAAGACGCGTGTACTTGCACTTATTTGTGACGTTCCCTTCCTCCCAAGTATCACTTACAGTGTAAGACGATAATACTATTTACTAGTATAAAAAACCTCCAGTATATCGTTGCATACAGCCACTAAATACGCATGTTTGTGATAAGTTAATGGGAGAAAGAAACCGTTTAAAAAAATATTTCCGAACCCACCATTGCATCACTTTTACTACTTATTTTCTAGCACTTTTAAATAAAACCATGGAGTACAAAGTAAGAGACAGGGTATCGAAAATTCAGTCAAACAATTTCTACAGGCCAAAGTAAGTGATTACTCTTTGGTGATAACGACCAACAACATATATGAACCTGTTTCAAGAGAATACGGGGTGAGGTTCAATGATAGTATTATCTATAACTTTATCTAACTTTATCAACGAAAAGTGGTAAATTTGGTGCAACCTGAAGTCGCAGATGGACAAATGAGGATATGACTTTTCTAATAATGCGATAAGCTTTCGATAACCAACGGTACTACTGAAGATAGCAAGACTTTTACGACCAGGAATTCATTGAGACAAATTACTACATGTAAGCATAAGGATAAACAATGTCTCACATGCGTCCGTCAACAGCAAACTAACGATAAACACAGATAGATCACATTACTATGAGCATTCGTAAGATAGGATCGGTGGAAAATTGACACTTTCTGGAGTAATTGTTTGAACTCCGATCACCCGTTAGCGCCGACTGACGAGATATCCGGCTATCTGTCAAAAGACGAGTGCACTGTGCTAGTGTCCGTTTCGTCCTGTTCCACGACTGTGATACATGGCCGTTGAAAGTAGAAGCCATGAAGCAATTACAGGGTTTTGATAATAGACATTTTGATAACATCGCTCGAGTTTGGTGGAATCACCATGTGAGCGATGTTGAGGTCAGCCGAAGAGTACTAGGCAAGACAGATAAGTCGATTAATGAGGGTGTGAACCGTAGTCGACTGAGATGGCTTGGACAAGTACTGCACATGCCTAACCACTGCCTGCCTCGATAAGGATTAGGTTGGGAGAGTTTAGGATGGCCACACCAAGACCTGGCATCAGTCGATGAAGTCTCTTACCGCTAGTCTGAGCTATGTGGGGAGATGTACACTACCTAGCTGGGGTCCACGAGACGAAAGGCATCAGTCAGTGGTTGAGGACTGACTCTTGGTGATATGGTTGAAAATCGGTCTCAGCGGTGCAGATGTATTCACTCCTTGACATCTAAAGCTTCAGTGTTTACACTGACCTTTATATTCAGATTGTTTATTCTCTCACCCTACTTTATTTTCTTCGATATCACTTTTTTATCCACCGGTTCCTTGTGTACTATTGTGAAGTGTGGTAACTAGAGCTGATGCACCTGTGTGCAAAGTTCTACGTTGATTTTATCAGTCAAAACGTGACAGCGATGCTCATCTTGAGGAGGTGTGTTGAATTCCTCACATTATCATGGTCTTAATTCTTCCATATGCTTTCTTTTCTTTTTCGACCTCATTATAATTAATTATCAACTTTGTGACGACCCTCTGGTTTTTTTCACCTTCTTTACATCTATCAAGCAGCCATTCAACCATCGCATTCCACCAATGACTTCACCTTGTTTAACTGCTTTTCGCTCTCTTTATTTGGGTTATTTGGTAGCTTATCATGCAACTCCTTTTCACTAATCACCTCAGTTTCAACCATACCGTAATAATAGACCATTATACGTTTGTGACGCTGTTGTACAGCTTTGGAAAATGACGCCATCGAGAAATGGAACCTTCGCCGAATTATCCCTTTTTTATTTCTAAATAAACAGAGGACATAAATTAACTCGATCCACGCTTATGCACCAGGTTATAAGCCAGACTTACAATTTAAGTGTTCATAGTGTGCAGTTGCTCAGGTCGAAGCAGGTGGAATGAGGTTTGAAACCAAGATTCAATACTGGTTAGCACAATTAAAGGTTCCTTAGCTTTTTAAGTTTATTTATGACAGATGAGTGACAGTACACTATAGCACTCGGTGTTTTGACAGGGTGGGTCTTAAAGAAGTATTAATTTCTGAGCAAAGCAAGGACAACAACTAAACGACAATCACTGTCTATACATGTAGTCCAAAGTAAACAACAGTTCTAATGTTCTTATCAAACTATATCTAGTTTCGGTGTAAAAGACTAGTTCACCTTATATTGATGTTCGCATCTACAACACTGTTCGCTGTCTAAATATGCTGTCTTACTAGACAGCCCTTCCGAGAGTTGAAACTGATTATTTCCAAACCATCAGGTCAAACACCCTGTCTCCTGGCTACTTTCTTTTCCGCTCTCCACAACTACATCGAAGAATATCTTCAGGATTTGTTTGTAAATAATTTCACACTGAACCTTACTGCAGTTACACTATTTATACCATCAGTCTAAATTATTATCATGTAGTGAGAATGGCCTCTGTTACAATTTGTCCCATCGTGTGCTGCGATCAAATATGTTTCTAAACGCTAACATATTATTATAAATGATTATACATAATCACCACTAACTCACTTATATGTCATGAACCGTGATCAACTTGTTTTGGTCACTACCTTGATTAAACTTCACAATACAAGCTGGTAGGCAGTAAATGAAATATGGTACACATGAAAGTTAAATTTTAGATCAGAATACCATTAAAATTGCCGATAGTATTTTAGTTTAGTTGTATTTGCTTACCGGATATGATTTTGAGCATTGATATATTCAAACTTCACGATATTATTGATGTGTGTAAAATCTTGCAACATCAACAAGTGACCAATCCAGCTAAAAAGAAACACTTTGGTCAATATGAGTAGCAGTAATGGTAATTGTTCCAAAAAATATTTTTATTTGTTAGGAAATACATGCAATTAGACCTTTTCTGGAGCAGTGAAAGGGTGAAAAATACCTATTTACTACGGTACAAAAACGAGAGTCGAATGAAAAATATGCAGTCTAAAATTTTCCTGATAATTTCCTGCATACACATTCCATGTTAATTAACTCAAATGTTGCTAGGAAGTTACCCATTGTAAATTTTGAAACGGTTAGTCAGTCAATATCAACTAAAATGCCTAAACATTTGCATCCAACTATGAGGTGAATTGAACTGCTAAAAGATGAAGCAATCTATATTAGCGAATTATAGTGGACAATAGTTATCATGCCTTACATAATCCGATATCGCATCACCAACTACGTATTATCTTATTCACTGTCGTTACGAAACAGTTTATTTGAAGAAAGAATTTCTGGTTTCTTCTTAATTCAGGGGATCAATGCTGTTCTTCAGGTCAGTTAGTATGTCACTGAAATTAGGATTTAAAAATTTTCCATCAAGAGAAAATTAGAGAAAGAAGACAACACATTGGTCTGGGGTGGAGCGTTACGTCAACTTCATGTAAGAACTACAAAATCCGTTGATTTTAGAAACGCGATACATTTATCACATATTCCAAAGATGTAATAACGTGCCAATCGCAAAGTGAGATTATGCAGATATGTAATGTGTTTCAAGTGGACAAATCGATGCAGAACCTAGCACAAAAGTGCATCAGGTTAAGTTGCCACACTTTACAGAAGCATGTGAAAAAAAAATGGATAGATAAAGACAGGCATTAAAGTATTCAAAGGTGCATTAGAAAAGGAATTTGAGAATGAAGGTTAGTGAAAGTGTTTAATCTTTAGAAGACATCAAAAAGTGAATACATCTGCGCCGTGCTAACCGGTTCCAGGCCACGTCACCAAGAATTGGGGACCGCAGCTAGGTAGACTACACTCCCCTGAACGACTAAGATCAACAGTCAGAGACATCATCGACTGGCGCCGTCTTGGTCCAGCCACTGAACCTTCTTCCAATCCAACCTTACTTCGCCCAATATTGCAGGTCGAAGTAGTCAATGGCACAACGTGCGAAGCATATGTCCAAGCTACCCCAGTAGCTGAAGGTTCCCAACCTCGACCAACGACCTGCTTAGTACCCTTTGCCTGACCTCAACATTGCTCATATGGGGATTCCACAATAAGTAAATAATGCTAGGAGGATTATCTGTGTTCGAAAACTTGTAACCTATTCATATCGTCTACTTTTATCCCTTATACCAGCCGTAGAACCGACTGCACAGCAGTATACACATCCTTTAACAGGTAGTCGGATATCTCACCAGTCCCTCAGATGACGCAAGCTGGATAGTGTATGGTTTATAGGATCATCGGGATATGCAAGCCCATCCACTATGTCTAGGTAGGAACTGTTAGTGGAGGAAAGGAAGAAGAGAAATGAAACATGTTTATAATTGAAGTTCCGTATGGATGTTGGACAGGTAAAGCGTTTCTGTGCGCTTGAGTCGGCCCCTGGGATAATTTTTCTGATAACCTACTTACTTTTTTGCGCTTCCCTGGAGTTTTATGCCTTGACATCACTGCTTTGTTATTTCTCATGGATTGTCCTGGTGTCCGTGGTGTACCAAGTTTGTTCTAATTATATCATATACTGCTGTCTAAAAAGAATGCCAATGAGATGTGAAAACCGTTTCTTAAGAGCCCATGTGAAATCAAAACTACTAGAATTACTCCACTATTCAGTGAACTAACTTTTTATGCTACAAATCTCACTTAAGTCGGTCACCTGCTTAAAGAATTTCACTAACCTTACTCAATTAACGAGTGCAGTTAGTGTGCAGCACTTCAATGTTTACCTTGCCTCCCATTCTTATCAGTCTCACTGTGCTGTTGTCGTCTCTTGCATATTCAACCCTGCCTAGGAGCTTCTAATATTTCCTGTTTTGTCATAGGGATTAGTGATCAGGAAATTTGTCGATCCAAATATCTAGGAACTCTGTCGCAACTGATACAGGTGCATTCTTTTTGTCGTGACAACTTCATAATACCACTTTTTCGTACATAAATTTGGACTGTCTAATATGCTTAGTAAGTTCTAATTATATAACGTAACCTAACCTGGTACATTTTCATGTACTACACTGAGCCACACATCTTTGTAAGGGTTTACGATAATACGTGGTTGCCCAGGCCGAAGGCGGAGTGGGCTGGGAAGAATAAAGTATTCAGAAACTACGCGATTATTGCACAACATACCTGTCAGAAATCCAGGGGAAAATTGGAGTAACTATATGCTGAACAAGCAGAAACCAAATTACTGCAGAGACTCCACCCACAGTGACACCAACCAGAACCTGGCTAAAAGTGTGGTACAACAAATAAACCCTGAAAGTAAACATTAAACTCCCAAAATGTACCTGCTGTAGCATACCACAACGGTCAGTAACAAAAAAATTAAGAAGATAAGCCCTTTAGTTTCACGACAACACGATTTCTGATTGAGCCTTTAACATTGAATAAGCTAGTATACAGCGAACCTTATGTATAGAAATAGTGCAAAATATGCGCAGAAAAACCCCATGAACTGCGCATGATTCGATGGCATACCTGATGATCCAACACTTGGATGCACTGCATTATAAAAAACTACTGACCAACAAACCTGAAGGAAATGGTCTTGGTTGACTTATTAAAGACTTGAGAAAAAAGTTGCTGATTTCATTCAACAAGCATCCACAGAAATAAAAAATCTGGAGGTGAATGTGTAAGCTGTGATTTGAAATACAGTATGCAAGTCCCTCCTCCACCCAATCAAAGTTATGAGGCTAACTGCTATGAAAATCGGAGCCATGCTTGTATATGCCAAAAATTTCCCAAACCTATCACCTGTAAAACCAGATATAATATTATTCTTATGGCTACCACTTGGGTATTCTACATGGAAAAGGCTTAATGACTTCCAGGATTGCCCAGAATCCATCTTAATGAGTTAACGAGCTGAAGATTCAGGTAACGCTGTAAACCAAAATCCCCTCAACTTCAATTACTCAGTGCTTGTCAAATGGTTTTTGACGTAATAGAAGAAGCTCTGGCTTAACTGGCTTCCGCGTCCACACTTCGCGGATCACTACTTCTTCTGGTTGCTAACCTGTGTACAAGTAAAGAAGGAGGAAAAAGTGGCCGTTAGAATGTGAAAATTCAATGAGATTTGGGCAGATCCCAGCCAAATGTCAAGTAAGTATCCAGCCGATGTTTAGACGATTTAGATGAAGTAGCCTGGATCGCATCCTCTGGAAGAGCGTTCCAGGGTTCAACAACTCCTAGGGGGCAGTTGTGTCTAATATCTAACCTGCTACGTTCCAGACTTAGTTTCTGTGTACGTCCACTAGGATTAGTGCTACAGCTAAGATTTAACAAATAACGGAGTGGGTGGCCAGGCGTGCTCAGAATGTTGTGCGCAATTATCAAGTCTCCTATTAGCCTTATGTATTTCAGAGGATACAGATGCGAAGCAACCAGTCGTCCTTCGTACGTCTTAGACCTAAGTCCCTGAACAGATTTTATCGAGCGCCTCTAGACGCGTTCTAAACTTAGTTTGTCGTTCTGGAGAGAAGAGGGGAGACGATGGTCCCAAACTCCAGGTGAGGCCATGTGAAGCTGTTGAAAATTTGGTGGAAGTATCTGCGGTTGAACTGTCCGAAAATTCGTCTGATAGTTACCAACGCCAAATTCTCGCGAAGTGCGTTTCTTTCTTAGTTGGCATAGGATTTTAAGTTTTGAGGGATAAATATGCCCAATCCTTCTCCGTCAGTGGCGCTCCAAATTAGTCTTTACCAATAACGATATACAGATAGACATTCTGCACTACTTCTTGCATTTTTTTACAACTTTGGAGATGTATCTTCTGAACACGACGCATATGCAGAGCAGGTACTTGATACAAGTTTTCGAGTATATCCAAAGAAGCTCAACTGATTTTTCAGGATTATGAACAGTAGACCAGTGACGCTTAACAATCCTTGCCACTGATATGACTCTGGAGAAAAGATATGTATCTCCACGCATCGATGGAGAAGGGAGGCAATGTGATCTGGTAGGGAGCAATATTGTGAAAAGCGTTTCCATACGTGGATGATTCCACCGCCGTAAAACAATAAAAACAACCCCTACCATGAAAAATTCTGCTTCATTTCAAACCACAGATAAACTCAGACAACACAAGCCGCAAAAACGTGATTCCTAAAATAGTTACTGACTTCACGGACATGATAACATTTCTCTATTACACAACTGATTGACAAGACTATATCTAACTTGATTTTGTTCACGCAACACACAAGCTAAATAAGGCGTAGCTGAATTATTTATGTGATTGTGGGTGCATAGAGCTTAATATACTTACTTCCTGTCTTCCCGGAGGACAGATATAAAGAGGGTTGCGGGTGCAGGGGATGCTTGTCATCAGATAAAATATTTTTAGCCGCACTATACTAGAAGGGTTTACACGAGACATAATCTTCTGGTCACACATCAAGTTTGGGAATTTCGTTTCCGACCAAATCGGGCAGTTAAGTCGTTTAACAGCGACGTCATCCCCCGCGGTCCTTTTAATTGTGGATAAGAGGGTCTATCAAACCTCAGGAAAGTTGTTTCAACTGACTTAGAAAATGAAAGCGGAATTTAGAGTAACGTGTAACTGTGGTCGTTGTTCTATCTAGGACTTTATTTCGAAATACTTCCCATTCTGAGTTCTAAAATGCATCTGAGTTGATGTGTGTCGTCATATGTAGAGTCGAATTCGTTCGCCAGGGCTGGTGTAGTGGTGACTTACCAATAGCCTGGAAAGAAATCAACATAGCTCGGGTACTTAGGCACGCACCTCCTGCAGAAAAAGTGAAATTCCGACCTACCACAGTGATCTCAACATTCCTGAAAACAATGTAAAAACTGTTGCTCTGAGTGCTTGGACCTCCTTTGCTGGCCTTCAGCTACCCAACTTAATTGCCTACAGATCCAGAGGCAGTACTTTAGATGCTGCGGTTGTTTCACTTCGAAGCATCATTGTCATCCTAGGTAAGGGTGGTATCTTAGACCTGCCCCCTTGGATCATGTTTTCATCTTTGACGCTATCTCCAGAACCCTCTTATTAAACACGCTTGCCGGTACTTACATCGAGTCCTGGATTGCAAACTAGCATGAGTCTCATTCTTCTGAGAAAAGGCAGCACACTCTGTAAAGAGGGAACCGCTCCTCCTCTATGCTTGGTGAAACCTGAGTGCCTCAATGTGCTGTTTTTTTTCCTTTCTTTTCTTTCTCTTTCACGGCTTACCAACCCCAGTCAAAGCTAACTTTGCAAAGCACACAGATTATCTGACAGTATCCATCCCAATAATTCTCTTTTCTGACTGTTCTCGGTTTAGTGACTTCTTAGGGGAAAATTGGTCACTGGTCTTCTTTAAATGGTCCCACACTCAATTCTTCCAAATGTCAGGTGGTTAATTTTAGCTTAAGGCGTGAAAATGACCTTAACACACTGCTTCAGTCACATGACTGCTTTCTTAAAGATGGCTCTGTTATAGGGAATGTAGCAAGCGTGGACCATCTTAGCTTGTGTTGTCCTTCTGATCCATCTTGGTCCACTCATATCTTATGGATTATCAGAAAAATCCGCTGTTTGGCCTTTCATATTAGGAAACCCAAACCGCCTGGGGTAACTCAGCCCCTCCTCCTACGTTTCATCAATTTCGGCGTTTTATTGATACCTACCGTTCCCCCTAATTCTTTCCTGGAACGCTGGCTGACCTGTATTGTGTATGATTTCGAAGGCAGCTAGTGGGAAAAGTGGCACATCACTAACCGCGCTGATAAATGTAGTCTTGGATAGGCATCTGAACTGTTGTAGACGGCTGGGTAAAAGTACTTTATCTGATGACAAGCATCCCCTGCACCCGCAACCCTCTTTATATCTGTCCTCCGGGAAGACAGGAAGTAAGTATATTAAGCTCTATGCACCCACAATCACATAAATAATTCAGCTACGCCTTATTTAGCTTGTGTGTTGCGTGAACAAAATCAAGTTAGATATAGTCTTGTCAATCAGTTGTGTAATAGAGAAATGTTATCATGTTCGTGAAGTCGGTAAACACTTCAAAGGTCATCTTGTTCCACATTTTTGTTCGATGTTGTCATATATAACCATTGCTGTTAGTTTACATTGTTGTTTTTATGGATTGATGCAGTAACACATGATGAGAGCCCTGTACTTTAAACACTGGCCCAGAACCAACATAAGTACTTTTATCATTATCCCTTCGTATAGAAGCGATTATCTAAGGCGAGATCCTTAATCGTTTTTCTTCTGATGTTAATGGTTTTGAACACTGTAACTCCGAAACGTCAGTAAACCCTTGCTATAAGGATCCTCGTAGCGTTCATCACATTCAATTTTCTTTCAGCATTTCCCTACCAGACGCAAGAAAGTCAAAAATGGCGTTCCCTACCACATAGGTTTCGGATCTCCTGTTTCTTTTCATGATTACCATGACTCACTCCGTAGATTCTCTCCAGTTGATGTAAATGGTAGGATACGATCATCGAAAGCCAATCATGATGAGATGAACACAGTGCATATTATGGACCGAATCACCCCAGAGCCGGCGACGTATTGGTCACACAAAAGAGTGTGTAGCCAGAGCCACCACTGAATGTATTGTCAGCCATTTTTATGCGCCTGGAGTGATCTTGGCGGCCGATGTGATGGGGGGAAATGATTTGAAACTCCCTCCTGAGCACGCTGTTTGACAGCTTTGATATTTAGTTGGGTATGTTTACCTTCACTGTGGATATTACGCTTTCAACCCCGGCCAATATAATGTCATCTCGTCATTTACCTGCCTTCTTTGGCTTTACACTCGTCATTTGTCTTTGTTTTGGACGAGACTTATCATGAAAACTTCACTTTGCTACTGTGGGATGTTGTACTGTTAACAGTATGGCGTTGGTTTACTGTGCCGACATTTTGTTTTGGCGCTAGGGGTTGATTGCCTATCTTTTAGCTGTCTACTCGAAACGTTTGTTGATAGGCTTGATTCTTATAGACACAGTCTTGATCCTATTTCGTTGGGAATATTCCTATTGGTTCTCAGTACGTATTCGTGCCGGAGATCATTCTGGACTGCATAATTGCCCAACGGGACTGTTGAGGTGTTTTGTAATTTTGAATTCTCTTGTTACTGTTCAGTAGCACCACAGAGTTATTAAAAATCCGATTCACCGCAAGTCGCGTATTGATATTTTCGGACCGATTTTCAACTGTGCGTCACTCATAGAAGTTCGGGCACTATACAGTAGAATGCAGGAAGTTATCTGAATCTCGTTGGTTTCGCTTCGTTGAATCGTTTCCCGCGTTCAGACCAAAATAATTAGATTTTAGTCGTCAAATATTTTTCATCTAGCTGAATCTTCATAGTAATCGAAAACTGGGATTTATGAAAGTCACTGGGAATGTCCAGCGTTAGCCGACCTCAAGGTTGTTATAACCCGTGAAAGCGGACGACGAGGTGCCCTGGAAGTCGACCTATTACTTTTCGACCCTGGGGTTAATAATGGGGCTATTCAGCTTATGCCTTAATTATTCAGCAGGTTTGTGAACCTTTGACGTGAGCTGGCAGGAGCGTACACGAAGTTCGTAGTTCTGGGATCAGTAAAGTACCACAAGTTAACAACTTGCATATATTCCTTCATGAACTTTTCATCATTATTCTTAGACAAAATACACGAGGCGTGGCAGTGGAAGTACTAGCATCAAACTTCATTTTTCTCCAGGCAATACACTCCATGTTCATATACAAGCCTTGGTATTTTGTTGATGCGGTGACAACACCTCAGCTTGTCTGTCATATCAGTTGGTGCATACTTATTCTACTGAGATGTTTCGTTTCGAAAAACATGCAGCGCTAGTGCCCCTTGATGACAGAATGGGTGAGGATATGCGCCACCTGACTCAATAGGCATGTACTTCCAGTAGAAATTCATT